GGGCAGCCACACCATTGATTCTTCGTCTTTGCATTGCTTCTTCAGAAACAGGACTGCCCAGCGTCTGCAAGACCTGCAAGCTGGAAATAACGTTCACGAAAGGTCAGAAAAGAGAGGTGCGTGACAAAGAAGATTGTAAGGATCATATCCCAAAGAGATGAGCTCTTTGAAGAGAAATAAGGCAGGGAGCAGGGTTTGAAGCAATTTAGAAGCAGATGTTTTTGGTGAGTGGAGGTTATCAAGCACAGACTTGAGGAGCTGAAAGAAGACGACCTGATGTTATGGCGGGGGGGGGGGGATGCTCAAAACAGAAAAGAAGACAGGTTATGGTTCAAGTAAAGTATCTGCCCGCCAGCCTGTGTCCTGAGATCTTAATGCGGTAGGGATCAGGGACAAGAGAAGGCGTGGCCTCGTTTGTTGTAGGACTCTTTGGAATAAGCCCTCCTGTATTAGTGAGCATGGAAGGGCAGAGATGATTACTGATGGACTCAAGCCAGGATAGTTCCCGAAAGGCCTCGGTTGAGGTCCAGTTTGTATTAGCGTTTTATACTCTAAAACCACAAGGTGGGGTGGGCAAGCAAGCTAAGTTTTACAGAAGCCTAAATGGAAGTCTGCAGGTTGCTAAGGGCAACATGACCCAATGTCTCCACTATTTCCCCTGGTCATGGTCATTCTGTTCCAGGTACCAAGTGAAGACATCCTTGGCAAATAGGCAGTATGAGCGGTGCTTTGAGTAAGTCACGAAATAAATCAATAAATCAGTAGCTAAGAATTGGTCTTTGCTGCCTCATTCTACTTCACCCGTGACAGTCATGGAAGAAGCAAAATGATGTGTAAAACTGATCAGTTTTGAGCCTAGGAGTGAAACGATCTGATGTAAATGTTAAAGAAGTGACCTCAACTTCTCTATTGAGAGTAAATTGCATCGGGATGAAGCAAGTACACTGTGCACCAGCTGCCACTAGGAAAATGTTGGTATTAGCATCTGAGTTGTAACGTTGAAGACTGTAGGAAGAAATGGCCAGGGTGTGGATGGGTTTGAAGACAAAGCAAGAGAGATGTTCTGGATCATCAGGTTGGTCCGTGGTTGAAAAGGGGAAGTCTAGAATGGGTTCAGTGTTTTGGTTCAGAACCTGAACCGTTGGAATTTCAGGCTGATATGGGGATCCTTTGGGGAGCCCTTTGTTAAGTAGTGAGGAGCAACTTTTGATATATAAACTTAGGAGGCCGTGGAGAGAATGGATGTGGCCAGAGTAGTGGCTAAGAAAGAGCTGTGCCACGACGGACTCTACCCTTTGGAAAGCTGAGAGATGAGGCTCCAGCTCTGGCCCAAGAGAAGGAGTGACTAGAGGGGACAAGGAATGACAGCCATCCTGCAACCAAGTCAAAGAAGAGTTTGCCTGTTTGAAGCCACAGCTGGATTTGCCAAGGGTAGATCTTTAGGGTCTTCGGTTATAGTAATCCCACTGGCATACAAGACACAAAAGTGCAATGGTTCATGAAAACAGAAGGTCCTGGATGCAGACCACTATGCCAACGTCTGCTAGAGTCCCCAAGAACTCCAGCAAACAGGACCCTCTCAGTTGGCCACAGACACCACCCACTCAGCTTCCAGGCTAGCCTTGGGAAACACAGTTGCTTCCTGATCTCCTCTTTCCCCCACAGACCTGTCTGAAAAGATCACATCGATTTTGTGTCCTCATCTCTCATGGAGATTCCACTTGCAAGTTATCTCTTCCCACCCCTCCTGCTGTTTTCCAGCTCTTACCCACCTACCATGCCACCTCTTCGGTTCATAGCAACCAAAAAGATCTTTAAAAAAAAACCTGAAAAAAATCTAAAATAATCACTCTGGGGCAGGAGAGATGGCTCGGTGGTTAAGAACTCTTGCCATTTTTGCACTGGACCTGGGTTTGGTTTCCTGCAGTCACATGGTGGTTCACAGCCATCTGGAAAGCAGTCCCAGGAGATCTGATATCTCTGCCCTCCAAGAGCACCAGGCATACGCACTGGTGCACATACGCCTTCAGGCAAAAATACTCAGGCACATAAAATAAACATTTGAAAAAAATCACTTTAGCCCATCACAGGGCCAGAATAAGAAACAAACAAGACAAAAACAAAACGAAGAAAGCATTTGAGAAAAACTCAACACTTGTTCATGATTTAGAAAAACAACAAAAACAAACAAAACTTCTCAGTCAACAATAAGTAAAAGGAAATTTATTCAACTTGATAAGGAACACTTACAAAAAAATCTGCAAATATCATCCTCAAGGGAAAAAACAATTAGAAGCTTTCCTACAAAGATCATGAACAAGGCAAGGATAGTCCCTCCAGCCACTGATTTCAGTATCATTCTAGAAACCCTAGCTAATGTAATCAGACAAGAAAAGGAAATAAAAAAACCACATATTGGGAAGGAAGGAATAAAAATGTTTTTGTCTGCAAGTGACATGAAGAAAATCCTACTGTCCTGGTCAAAATCCCACATAAAATTACATTGTGTATAAGACATTATTCCAACTCCTATAAATGTGTCACAAATCCTCCCGACACGTTGTCTCAGCCCACATTCATGATGGTCTCTCAGTTCTTAGATTAATTAGTCATTTAGAAGAAAAGGCAAGTCTCTCCTTGTCTCTGGGTCTTCAGATCTGTTCTTCCTACTGCCAGATCTCTTCTCCACCCCTGACTCCATTCTTCGTGGGAGCTTGGGCAGAAGTCAACCTCTGAGGAGGGTGTCCTTTGACATGATCAAAGTTGCCTAGTGAAGGAAGTAGAAGGGAGGATGGAAGTATTCTGAGGTGCATCTCAGATGTTTCCTCAAAGAATCTTTAGTAGGATCGGCTCCAGTTGCCGGAAGCAGAGTTCACCCTGATAACAAACCCTTTATTAACTTCCCTTCTCTTTCCCACTCTTTCTATCCCTGTTTAGTTTTCAGTTTAGTTAAGGCGTTCAAATAAATTACCTACACTCAAAACCACGTCTTGGGACCGACTGTGGGTCAAACCCATAGGGAAAATGTCATGTAATGGCATGGCTCACAATACTTCCTTAACATCATAGACTATTTGCTGTCCTTTTCATTCATAACACAGCATATTTCCTTCGTAGAAGCAAACGTAACCTATGATTATATTCCTATAACTTTAGTGTGGCTCCATCCCAAGACTGGATGTGTGCCCAGTGACAATCTCTTTTCCTGTTTTGTTCACAAGTCCACAACACATAAGTACTTACTGTAAGTATCACTTGTGTTTCTAACGCTGCTGCCATTGTACGAGATAACAAATAAATGAATGGAAGATGGGGACGCACGTGGAGAGGAGAGATGATGGATATTAGGATTTTAAAAGTTGATTATGCAGTCTAGATTTTGGCTTGAGGTTTTCCACTGAGACCAGTCGGAATATGCTAAAAGCACTAAGAGGAAGGCATGTCTGATTTCTTTGATTTATTTATCCTAGAATTTTGGAAAAATACTGGGTTGTTCATGTGTCTCCCTTCATCTTTATTCATTCATTTTTTTGCAAGTATCCATCTTGCTGATTAAGTTTTGGTCGCATTTAAACTTAACAATGGAGACACCCCCCCCCCCCGCTTTTACATTTACATTTACATGGGTCCCAGTGATTTACCCAAGGTTAGGAAGGTAATGGCAGAGCCCAGAGCCCAACGCCAAACTGTGTCTTTAGTTGCCAGGGCATTTTACTCTAGGCCACAGTAACTTTCTTCTTGAATGGCCAACAGATCTGAGAAGGATATTCCCATGAACCTAGGTTCCAGTACAACGTGGCTAATTTTGCTAAATTCGCCAAACTGTTATTGGTTGTCTTCCTGACTTCTCTGAGATAAAAGGATAAATTATTATTATTATTAATAGTAATAATAATTATTATAATTATTTTGCTTCCACTTCCACACTTCACACATCTATGTGCTGCAGCAAACATGCGTTGAACACAATCCCATCTCAATGATGCTTTCCCCTGTCTCTGGGCCAGGTTTGTTAAGGAAGATTGTTGTTCGAGGTGCAGGGGGTGAGGGTGCTCCTGGAGGATCCCTGATTCCTCTGAGCACAGCACCAAGCACTTTACAGGCAGGGAGGTAACAGGTGGAGACAGAGAGAGGTTGTATTTCACAGCGCCCAGAGCAGCCTTGCAAAGCTGGTCACAGATCTGTGTTCTAGCGCTCCCTCTCTCTGATCTGGGAGCCCAACAGATGTGGAGGACTTCACCGGGCAGAGTCTGGTGCACCAATGTGTCTTCAGACCCCACAGCTCGATTCAGACTGAGCTAGACCTTTTCAAGCGCACTGGCTTGTGTGGGTTCCACGCTGACCTACAAACACGCCGAGCTCTCGCGGGGTGGGACCTCTCTGCTCCCCCGCCCAGTACCTTCACTGTCCTCGAGTGACCCAATGCTCTGCGCGCAACAGTTGGGACCTGCTGTGCGCGGGCTCCCGGGCTATGCGCGCCATGCGATCTCCGGACCAGACTTGCCATTGGCAGCCGCACGACGGCCTGAGCGCTCCCCCTAGGCGCGCGGCGCTGGGCCCTTCCTCAGATGGAGCCACGCACCGGCCGCCCCCC